GTGTGCATGATATCAAATGGTTGATTATGAATTGAGATTCAATTTATTTGGATGTTCGACGCTTTAGATATGCTTACTCAGCTTCATCGCTGAGCGTGTAGTATGTTTTATTTGCTACACGCAGGTAGACAGAATGAGTGAATGGCATGTTCTTGGCAGCGGAAGGGGCGAGACAGTCGTGGTGGATTTATTGAGAAAATAAATGATTCTGTTATTATGAACCATGTTTAAAAATCGCTTCCGCATTAAACACTCCGTATTTACTACAATTATGTTTGGAATTTCATTTATGATGAATAAAGTTATTTGAAATGTTTTAAATTATACGATTACCAAGTTAATACTTTAGTTCGGAAGGGGTTGTAAACCTGGACGGATTAGGGTGTTACACTTTGAGCGCTATCCCTTTATTCTTTTGTTCATCCAAAGACGGGGTTAGAATTGTAGATTCATAAGTTTTAAGGTTACCTCTTAATCCGTTGATGGTTACGTTGGAGACTCCAATGGATTCATAGATGGCGTCGGCCTTTGATCTCCATTCGGGGGTGAGGCTCCGCAGGATTTTCCTCACGAGGTCCTTGTTGGCATACGTCTTCTTTAGGGCGTGAAGATCATTGATGATCTTCGAGAAGCGATTGAACATGTCGTCAATCTTCTCGCCTGGTTTCATCCTGAACATCTCGTACTCCTGCGTTAGAGCAGCAGGAGATCTTGCGGTAGTCATCAGGATTTACGGCACAATAAAGCATGTTTATTGCCTTTGCATAATTCTCGACCTTTTTGATGTCCTCGGCATCAAACCCGTCTTCGGTCTTGGGGATCAACTTGTCTCCGACTTTCTTCATCGGCACCTCTTCCCCGTTTTTGATAACCAACCATAATTGGAAGTTCGTGGAACGAATATAGATTCTCATTCGTTCTTTCCAATATGTATAATTGGTTCCATCAAAAAGAGGTGGCCGTGTAGTTGATTGACCTTCTCCAATCCCTGCATAAAGATTTCTAGAAGAAGAACCCATGATCGCTTTACTCTCAAACG